AGGAATGCACGACCACAATCAGTTTGATTCTTTGTGAACTATGACGAATTGTTAGCTGAATCTGCCCTAATGGAGACTGCCCCAGAGTTGTTCCACTGTGGAAAAAAGTAGAACATTACACTTAGTTTCTAAAACTCGTATTTAAAGTGAGACCTAACTGAAATATATGCTGAGTAGTTTTCCCAGGAATCATGTATTATCCATTTAACTTTTCACTAGACCAACATGAAAGAAGAGAGCACAGGCAAGCTAGCACACGAGCGTATCTTCATCACTTTCTTGTACTTCAGTTCCTGGTCCACCAGTTCTGCTCTCCAAAATAAGCTAGGTATTCTTGTCAGTTTAGAGTTCAACTGCTCTTCAGTGTTTTGAAAGCCATTATCAGTAAAGAGCTTGCTTAGCCTAAAATAAACATTAAAGCAGGATCTAGGAAATTGGAAAGTCTAATGGTGCAAACTGCAATGAAAACCTCAGTGATGGGCCACTCTTAGCTATGGCCAGGAAGCAGTTAGAAGACCAGCTCATTGTTTTCTAAATTCTCTAACAAAGAAGTATAGATATTCTTGGAATCAAAATAGTGATAATTAGACCTATTTACCACCTTAAAAGCTCAAATCACAGTATAAACACAGCCATTTTACTTTTCTGTAGCTCATGCCACACTGAAAATAAGTTTAGTATCAATTTACTCTTAAAATACAGGTCATGCTTAAAAAACGAGCAAGCACCATGTTTAAGAAGTTCTGCTTTGAAGAATGGCCAATATTTGCAGAGTTCGCTCATCTCTATGAAATGCTTATTTTGGTTTGTGTAAACTGACTATGAGCATTTTCTGTTTCACACAGGACAGCATACGGCACGCTTAGCATTTCTCAACCACCTGAAGGATATCTTAACTTCAAGGGAGAGGTGTGCCTCTTTTGTGAATAGCTACTACAAAGTGATTGCTCCATTAACATTCCCAAGTCATTAACTTTAAAAACTAGAATGAAGCGTTTCAGTTCAGTATTTTCTTAGTTAAAATAATAGAAAAAATCAGAGCACCTAAAACCAGGGGGTCTGCAATAAAGGACCGCCACAGCTGTAGCTTTACCACTCTTGTCAAATAAGAAAGTATGAAATTTGTGTATTAAATAAGGAGTAGTGAGTAGTGTTTCAACATTTGTCATAATTAGCAAAGGCTAACTCAGTTTGGGGCCAGAAGAGAGACTGTCAAACCGAATACGAGACAGCAGAGGACCATAAAGATAAATGGGGGACTGGAGCACATAAGCAGATGGTGAAGGAAATGGGTTTGTACAAATTGAAGAGAAGGTCAACAGCAGATTCAGTTGGAGTCTTTTGCTACTTAAACCAAACATTACAGAGACACCTGAGTCAGGCTCCTTGTGGCTGTACACAGTAGAAGAACAAGAAGCCAGAGGCAAGCTGCAGCAACTAAATTCCAATTGGAAATAAGGAAAAAATGTTTTCACAGTGGAGTGGTTAAGCACTGGAATTGCTGAGAAAGTTTATAGAATCTCCATCCTTGGAGATATTCAAAACTTATTTGGACAAGGCCCAAGAAACCTGATCTAACTTTGAAGTGGGATTTGCTTTGAGCAGGGGGCTGACCGACCTCCAGAGGTTCCTTCCAACCTATATTACTCTACTGATTCTACAAACTCTGATAGAGAAAAAGATGAATTGATTCAATCCCTTACAAATAAAAAATTAAAATCTTTCTACCTAGCTTCACAGAGGAGCTACATGAATAGGGAATTAATGGTTTCCATTCTCCTATTCAGAGTGGAATGGCTGCTCAGCTACCTTTACTGGTAAGCACAGGTGGCAAATAAAATAAAAAAAATTAGAGAATTTAAGAAAGCATGGCTGCAGCAATCCTCATGAATTGAATAGTAACTGACTAGTCATATAACATTCTTTATAGTCAACTATCCCTCTGAGTAATTTAAAAAGACCAGCTATATTCAGCTTAATTGGCTAACTATTAATCCCAATAGGATTCAGTGGTGAAACAGGCAACTATTGCCATGAAAGTGATTAATGTTATATTGAAAAATACCCTTCCCTCTTGCCATCCCACTGCTTTTAGCACTACACAGTGTAGCTATGACAACAAGGTCGACTTTATCTTGCAGATCATCACAACAGTAAGGTAACTTCTAATCGCAGAATCTGTCTAACTGAGGTACTGGGAGGAAGCAGAAAATCACAATGACTAATTTTAAAATGCCAGGCTCAAACCACAACAGGAAGAAATATTACTGAAATGCAAACTAAGCACTTTTTCTTTGGCTACACTGATGACATTTTTTATAAATCAACTTAGATGTATTGCAAAACCAAGCAATTAACACCATACTTTTCAAGCTGTCGTAGTCTTTGCCGTAGCTCCTGCGTGGCAATAGGCAGAGATATGTCTGAGGCTATGCTAGGAGTGGGTTCTTTGACCGAGAGGTGACTGGGAGAATAAGAGAAGTTAGAGGCATGAAGACTGGAGGAACTTCGGCTTAGATCTGTTGGCCACTGAGGGCTGGCATTGGGAGCCTGACTTTTCTCAGTATCAGTCTTTTTATCACCGTCTGTCACTGGGGAAGCTGGAACAGGTTTGTTTGAATCAGGTGGTGGTGAGACAGGAACCTGAGGCTTAACAGATGATTTTCTTGCATCTTTGGAAAGAGATGGCCTTTTCACTTGGGCTGAGTGTTGATGATCTGGAGATCTTGCTTGCTTTTCAAGAGAAAGGACCTAGATACGGTAAAAATACACGTAATACTACGATTTTCAGCATAAAAAAACAGGAACAAATTTGTTTCTACAAGACTACTGATTGGTGACAAGTTGTTAAGTTCAGACATTACTGCAGGACCAAAAATATTCACACTTATGCTCATCCACTCTACAACAGGAAACCTTTTGCACAGCAAAACACAGATCCATCTTCTTTGTGGCAACTGCAGTAACTATAAACCAATGTGAAATTCTCCTCATTATTCCCTTCCCATACTCTACACACTTTTGATGCAAGTTCTATTTACTTTGCAGCTCTAGCTACCTGGAAAGCTCTTCTATAATTTTTTTTCTTCTAATCTTTTTGAAATTTAATTCCACATCACAAGTTCTTCTCATTGTCCTTACTTTCTCTTTTATAAATTATTTCATTTATTAATAACAAGTAAGCAAGAAAGTGCTTTTAGAAACAAACAAATAACAGAAGTTAACAGAAGTTGACAGTGTTTGCAAAGAGATACACTATCTTATTAAAGCAAATAATTTAGCAGGGGAAAAAGACAAACCAACTTTCAGGTATACAAGTTTCGTCTCCAAAACTCGAATGTGCTTGAAAGTTGGTCTGAATTTTTCTAGTACTATGAAGGTACTTCCTTTCCCTATAAACTTTATTCTTTTTAAATCATCATGACCTCAGTGCTATTTCTATAAGATAAAGGTGATTTCCCTCATCTTTAGCCTACTGAGTGACAAGAGACTTGAAGGACTTCAGATTCCAAACATGATTTCTGAACGTAAAACCAAGGGGAACCTCAGTCTTAATTAATGCAGCTGATTACTGTTTTATTTGAAGAATTTTCTGGTTTTGAAATGGAATGTATTTAAGTTAGAGGTTATCTTTGCGTACTTCATAGCACTGCCACAACTAAGGACACCTGGCATTGTGACACCCAAGGAAACGTACTGTCTTCTTCATAGAGCTAGAAGTCAGAACAATCTTAAATATGCTTTCAGATATTTACAACAGGAAAAGTTTCAGAGTACCCTGAGTGCAATCTTCATGTTTATAGTGCTGTTTGGACCAGAGTTGCTCAGGTGGAACCGCTGATGCATAGTTAAATCTTCACTCTCCAGCAACTGGCTTAGAGGCAGTTTGAAGTTCCCCAAGGAACACTGGTGCTGTTCATCCCTCACCTGAAGGAACACAGAAGCTAAGTCATTTTGTATCATCTGCTTTGTTAGAATTCAGAGAAAGAAAAGGAAATCACAGTTTTATTTAAGAACAAAAACATCCAAACAATATCGGATGTAGTTTGTTCTTTGGTGAAACCAAATTTCCTTGATCATAAAATTACTTATGAAGAAAGAAATAGCAAATAAATTCAATGCCTAGTTTCTTCATCCCTATCTTCTACAGCAAAAGCAAACAGAAAACTAACCATCACATCTACATCTACCTGACCCTTGATCACAATAACTACATGGTTTCCAAATGGTCTGTGAAAATGAACTCCAACAACTCTTAGAGGAATAGTAACTACTACAGTACTCATTTACACTTTAGTTTCTTTGAACTACGTAAATGACATGTCAGCAGTGTAAAGGGATACTGTATTTGGATAAAGCAAAGACTTCCTTGGGATGAGAGAGAAAACAAATCAGCCATATAGAACAGCAATTTCTGCTAGCAGTTAAGAGTGTTAAGGTTCGAAACAGGTATAAAAATTTAAATTTTTTTCCTTTTTTTTTCTTTTTTTTAAGTAAGACAGCCATCAAATATGTTCTTCTGGTGAGAGACTGGTTATAGTCTTTCTTCCTTTTAGTAGTAAATGCAAATAAACATTTCATAGCCTCGTCTTAAAAAACACTTAAGTGTAATTTTAATGTTGTTCATAATATATTCAGTCTCATTTCACAACAGCCTGTAATGTCTGAATGCTACTACTGATATGCCTTAGTACCTAAAGGTTTCTAAAGAGAGTGAGACAACGTACCTCAACTTCAAGATCTTGTCTTTTGGGATTGTGTACAAAGAAAGTAAAGTTTTCCTCCCATACTGGTTCATTGGTCTTGTATCGAATCTGAAGTTACAGAACAGGAAGCATACAAATTATAAAACATTTTTGTCTTAACAAAGCCGGTGTCAAGAGTTGAAAACATTTTTCATTTTGGCTTTGTAAAATTAATGTCTGAAACCTGACATATTTAAACAAAGGCCAAGTGGGATCTACCCAAGTCATATATAATATCACATATAAAATTATACACAGGACATGTAATAGAATATGTTTTGCATTAAAGTTGCTGTACATCAAGTAAAACTCCTGCTAAAGAACCTTTACTTCACACCAGTCTATGAACAAATGCAAGGTCTTCAGACTGGCATATTCTCTCTCTTCTTATATTTCTCTGTAAGGACTGAACTAACTCAATGAAACTCCTATTTTTCCTTCTAACTGCCAAGGAGCCATGTGGGAGATTTCACTGCCAAATCTCACTCCTTTCAGCCATTAGTGGGGGGCAAGGGGAAGAAAGCACTCATTAAAAAAGCTATCTCTAGGAACAAAGGACTTGAATTTCTATCTCCATTCTCTAATCGGTATCAAAATTAAGACTGTCTATAAGATCTGGTTTAGGCTTTGTGACAATTTTTGACAGGATATGAAGAAGCCAAATTAGATGTCCTCTCCTTTTGGCTTACTGACACTTTTACTTAAAAAACAAAAAAAACCCCCAAACCCCACCCATATTGCATATATCTACCTATCTAGGTATCACTTCACTGTTGCTATTTTATTTTAAAGAGCTTTTTTTACGCACAGAGGTTAGTTATGGACAAGATGACAGGCACGTTGAATGCCTTGGATCAAAATCAGAGGGATCACCATCAAGATCGACCTCATGACAGGCATCTGTTACAGACCATCCATTTAAGAGATGAATGATGCCGCCTTCAGATGATTCAAAGCTGCCTCACATCTGCAGAACCAGGTTCTCACTGAGAGCTTCAACTACTCAAATGTTTCCTAGGAAAGCAGCACAGTGGTGCACAAGCAGTTTAAGAGTTTGTGCTAAAACACATACTGTTGTGTTATGGTTGTTCTCAGTCATTGGATGTGTTGACTAGGAGTGGTGTTCTTCTGAATCTACTACTTACAAATGAGGAATATTGGTTTGCAGATGTGGCTATCAACAGCAGCCTTGGCTACAGCGACCGTAAGATCACAGAGCTTAAGATCCTAAGGGGCATGAGGAAAACAAATAGCAGAATAAAAGCCTTGGACTTCAGAAAAGCAGATTTCAACTTGCTTTAGGAACTGTTAGAAGGGACTCTATGAGTGTCTACCTTGGAGGGCACAGGATCTCAGGAGTGCTAGAGGACAGCCTTCTCAAAGCGGAGAAGTGGTCCACACCTCAAAGCAGAAAAAGCAGCAGACATAACAAAGCAGCCTGGCTAAACTATGACCCCCTGAGAGCTACACAGCACTCCTGCAAATCTAAGGCCCTCCTTTAAACAGAAGGTTCAAGCAGGTGATCTTCAGTGGTCCCTTTCGACCTGGGCATTTCTGTAACTCTGTAATTCTCTAAATTTTCAAATCTTGATCACAGTATTTTGAAGCCCGATGTTTGCCCACACTGTTATTTTCGTAATCATTACTGTAGGAATCCCAGTTGCCGATCAGAACCTGCTGTGGAAGGACATCTGCAAACAGTTAAAAACCTGGTCTCTACTCACAGTTTAATTTGAGGAAGCACCCTTGGCTTCTTGTTGACAATTTCAGTTCTGGTGGTAACTTTTAGTACAGAGGATATGCTCAACGGCTTGATAGCTAATGCCAAGCACACAGAGCCACCAAATGTTTGTAGACAGAGCCAAGTATAAAGAGTAGGAACTTACCTTACTTTCCTGTGCCTTGTGTCCAACTGACAGCAAAACAAGTGGGTTGGGGTTGCTGTTTATTTTCTTTCCTGACTGATAAAGAAAAAGCAAAAACTTTGCCTTCAGAATAAAGCAAAACCTCTCTCCTCTGAAATGTAAATGTTCGCATCTTAAAAATACAAATCATATGTGTTCTACTATATGCTTATCTATTATTCTCAGTATTTTATTCAATAGGCTTGAATGGCAGACTGGCTAGTAAGCCATGAACACACATGAAGGCATCCAACTACCCTAAATACGCTGAAGCAAAACGCTACAAATAAGCAGGAGTTTTAGACCCCTTTCCATTTTCTTTGAATGAAATTGGTAAGGTGCAAATTCTTACCCTTTAATGAGCATTACAACCCCCAAAGGTAATGAAGCATAGTTAAAACTGCAAAATGAATATTGCATGCAGATGGGAGATATGGAGAAAGCACAAACTCAGGAAGCTTACTTTATTTACATTGCAGTAGCATTATTAAATTGGATGTAATATCATAACATTGATATTCCCCCTTTTTCAGTTTGGGGAGAAAAGAAGATGCACTACAATGTACCTGATGCACATTTCTACAGTTTACCAAATACTCTTTATTAGAGAATCAACCATCTGCCATATCTGAGCCTTGCTCACCAGGTGTATAGCATTACATCAAACTGTGAAAATAAACATCAGTTTAGACACAAATTATATACACAAAGGAACATGCCCAACTACATGTTTCTTTCACAAATTTTAAATTAACCTAACAAAAATTTAAGTCAGAAAGAAAAGTTAGACATGAAAGTTAATCATCTCAAGCAGGCGTTAATGCAGTTTAAATGGCCTAGAAAATATAGTATACATGGTTAATAATATACTTGGAATTCTACCATGTAGGAAATTGTACAGATCAGGTATGTAAACAGAAAGTTAGTTAAAATCTACTTAATGTATGTAAGGTCACAATTACAACCAAACGATTAAAATATTTTATATTTTTAAATTAAGAATGTGCATATTTCAGGTATTTTTGGATCTGTACTTACATTTTGGACATCATACTTCCATTATATTACTTGACTTTAATGTGACACACTACTTATAGCCATACTTTCCTTTAGAAACAAAGCTGTTAAGAAAGCACTCCTTTCTTGGATGAACGCCGCATTTCTTTTTTTCATGATTTCTAATGGAAAATATTTAGCTCTCATCAAAGTCGACAGAATAAAAAGGTTTAAAGAACAGAAGGGAAGTCAGATTACTGTCCAGCTGATGGTGTTTAAGAATCATAGGTGAAATTTGATTCATTTTTTCCTTGTCCCTAAAAAGGTGCCTGAAACTTCCTTTTATTCATAAAACTATGAAACTAGAGAATTTGACAAAAAGACCCTGTTGCTTATGCTGATACGTAAATATACATAATTTTAATTCATGCTAAATAGGCAGCGATATGTACACACACATATAATGCTCCTCTAACACCTGCCACTAACAGATTTGCTGTTGACAGTCTATTAGAAATTGCCTCGTGTCCAAGTTCCTCCAGCTGAGAACTTGGCTTACGCCTTCCAAGTTTGCCTCTCAACCCTAAGTCTTTCATAACAAAAAGCTGGGCTAAATTTGTTTAGCATTTATATAAAAGATGTAAAGCCATCTAAAAACATGTAGCAGGAGCAAGACTGTTCCAAAAATGTCAGAGATTGATTTTATTTGTTAGTCATTCAGACTTGACCAATAAAGTATCACTCAGTATGTAAAAGATGGTTTAGCTTTCATGTCAGCTTTGTTCTTTAGTTACTACTTCAAATTAGTTCTCGGGACTATTTTTCCCCCCCCAGTCTATGCTCCACTCAGCTGATCTAAAATTCAAATTACCAAAGACCATAGTATTTTATCTATGTCTTGACCTCTTCTTGAAACCAAATTTAAGTAAAATGGAATTGCACTAAACATATATCTGGCAACAGAAATTCCATCCACCGTTGGCAGAGAAGTTTTGCAGGCATTTGTGCATTTCCAATTACTTTTGTGACCTTAAATGGACAACTATATTAGTTTTACCTTTAGGGCTTTCTGAACAGCAGCCTTCTTCAAGCCATCAGGGTTAAATTCTAATGGATTATGCTTTTAAGTCAGGAGAGAACGAACATAGGAAGGGTTAATAAGTCATGCAATGAAGCAACTTTACCAGGTTAATTAATTATGACATGACAACATAGGACAAAGCAGGAAAAAAACCAACCTAAAAAAACCCCAAAAATGTTTCAAACAAAACAATGAAGGAACAACAACAAGGACAACCAAAAAAAAAAAAGAGTCTGACAAAACTTTTTTTTTCCTCTTGTCCTCTCTGAATGTTTGTATTCTGCTTTAAAACTAATATACTCACTTTCAGTCCACTTACACTTCTTTACCAGTTTTCTTTACCATAATAACAAAACTTCACAAAATAGGTTTTATTGAAAGCCTGATGTCCTGCAAACTGCCTTCTGAGTGAACCTTTTTTTAAATTTGGTTGATTATATTATCATAACATAGAAGGTTCTCTGATGATAAGTAATTATGTGAAGGAGTCCTTTTATGGGAGAATTAATATGCTGAAATTATTGATAGGGGGTTGGACTAGATGACCTCTAGGGGTCCCTTCCAACCCAAAACATTCTATGATTCTATTATAGGACTTAGATTATTATAAAAATATAACTCATTTGAGCCTCTTCAGCAGACTAACGATACAAACACTACATGCTAACTAGAATGAAGGTCTACGACTTTACTCAGTTGAATGAAGGCATACAAATACACTGACAATATGAATTTGAACTGATTTGGCAGGACAAAACCTCTGACTACTTTCCATTAATTAAGCAAATTTAAAAATTTTGTTTTAAAAATAATAAATTGTTCTTGAAGTGACACATGTGAAGTACAAAAATGTTACAGAAAATTTGCATTCAACTTAAGAAATAATTTCAGGAAATAAGATTTTGAAATAAAACAGACTTCACGTTAGCATACTTATGGCTGGCTTTTTCTTTAAGCACAAATTTTTGTTTCAAGGGAGAATTCTGCTTTAAAAGCTGTAGTGTGTGGCAACAAAAAATTGCATTAATGGCCTTTTAAAACATGCTGGTTTATGAGCAGAAACCGGTATTATTAATGCTCTGCCAAGAGAAATGCCTTCCTGAAATTCAAATCCAAAAGTGACTAAAATTTGAAGAGAGATTCAACCTTTGTGCAGAAATGCTTTTTTATATTTTCTTTGGGAACGTCATATCCTGAAGTTGGCCATTATATATATGACAAGATTCCTGGCCTCCAGCTTTAAAATTTCTATTTCAGAATGAATATACAATATGATGAAACTGGAAAAAGAAATACGGTTTGGCTGGTTTTGTGGGATTTGTTTAATCATTATTTTTCTTAAAAAAAAAAAAAAAGGACTCTTCCACAGCTATTTATCTGATACGTTAGGGCCTTACTATTGTACTTAAAGACCTTCAAAGACGGCGACTGCCCAATATCCCTAGACATATCAATCCTAATGTTTAACTATCCTTTTCTTTAGAAATTTTTTTAATGCCCAACAGGTGTGTTCCTTGCTGGAGTTTAAGCACTGTTTCTTGTTTTCATGACAAACATGAAGAAGTCACTTTGTTTGCAGCAGCCTTGTATTATTCCCATCCCCACCTTTACTTCGTAAGGCTAAACTCATCCTAGTTACTCTTCCTCTGCTAGCCACGTTTACTGGCTTTCTCATTATCATCACTGGTGTCCTCCAGATCTTAAATTGCTGTGGCCAAAATGTGACTGGGCCTTAGTAACGGCTGAGTAGAACAGATGGATTAGTCCATACAACTTACAGGCCACGCTCCTCTTTCTGTATACAGTGTGGTGTTTGTCTTTCATAACAGCACGATACAGCATGACTACAGATCTGTAGAACTACCCATCAGACAACTATTTCCATCCCATATTTATATGGGTGCAATCACCATCCTCTATGGAAAAGTACTTTTATTTTTCCAGATCATGTCTGCAATTCATCAAGATCATTTTGAATCCTAAACTGCCCCTCAACTTACTGGCTATCTTTCCTTCACATTTGCACCTGCATATTCAGTACACATCTTCCCTCCCCCCCCCCCCCCCCGATATTATTTCAAAGAATTTTAGAAGTCAAAACCAAACCTATGTAATCAATTATAAAGGCAGGCAACCAATGATTCCTGGATATTGAACATGTCTCAATTCCTCTGGAATCATAGCAAGGATAGGCCAAGAGGGACATCGGCTGGGGCAAATATGTTTAAGACAGACTTCAGGTTTCAAGGGAAGGAGCTGCAGGTCCATGACGATGGTGGCTGAAAGGCTGGGTGGGAGGAGATCAGGAGAAGAAAAGGGCGTATTCAGTGTAAAAAGCCAAGAAAAGATCTTGCCTTGGGTGACAAAATTGTCTTGCTATGGTTCTGAGTGTCTCTGCACTTACAGACTTATACAACTTATAGGAAAAGGGGACAGGTGTCCAAGAACTATACTGACAACTGACACAGTGGAATAAATCAGATTTTAGGCTAGCATTCTGTAAGAGCCAGTAAATCCTATTAACAAACCCATAAATTACACCACAACTAACAAGCTGTTCTGTTATTAAGCCAGATCCTAATTCAATATGCTTGGAGTACGGCTCATTACTAAATCTTGCTTGGGATAAAAATGTGGCTTTAGAAGTGTCTAAATCTGTGAGCACATTCTCAGCTGATAACCAGAAGACAGTCACTGAATTGTAAGAGCCAATCTAAAATATGGATCATTTATATGTTATGTAGACACCAAATTAAAAGATAGATTATTATGAACTAATGATAACATACCATAAAACTAGTGTGACTTGCTTTCAGAAATCATACTAAGAACACTATTCAATACTCCTTAACTTCAGATAAATGAGATTTAGATGGGTAAATGTCTGAATTAGGTGTCATGAATTTAGGTTCCCAGCAGTCAATAAAACTGTCCAGAAAGGAACAGAGAGCACCCAGGGCATTGGATTTCCCTCTCCCTATATAGAGTGAGCTCCCTTTTTAACCCTCCCCCCACCCCCCCAGGTAACTCATGTTACATGTCAGTTGGATATCTAAACTTGCAGGTGTGAATGTCCGCATAATACCTCGTGTCTGAAGATGCCCTGAAAACAAGATGCAGTTTTATGACTGCTGAAGCTGTTGTTCTCTCTGGGCTACTACAGTCCTCTCCTCTCTCCTGGCCTCCAGCCATAAATCTCATCCTCCTGCTTGCTGCAAGACTAGCACCCATGCAACCGCAGAACAACGCTGCAGTTAACACTGCTGTTGAAGGAAATCCAGACCTGGCTATTTTAAAATGATTGCTGTTCCACTCTGACTCGCAAATCGCTTTGGGGATTTGGAAAGTTTTGTCCGATGTCTAAATACATGCTGTAATATGTAGACGACGTGTCCTAATGCAAGGACCCTGAGATCAACAAAACCATCAGGGCTATACTCTTTATCTACCATTTTGATTTTTTTTTTAATGATTATTGGTTTTAGGCTGTATCTATTATTTTTATAACTAAAAGAAACAGCAACTACTTATCAGTTTTAATACTGGGATAACTGAACCATAGCTTATGAACTGCATTTCTTAATTCACTGAATTTTAACAAGGTTTGGTAATGGATGTAACTTTTTTGATACTTTAAAATGAACCTCTATACAGAAACTAACCAAAAGGAACACAGAAAATTATTTTTTTGGGATTTGGGGGTGGGCAGGGTGGAAGGTGGTTTTAAATCAAGTATTATGATATGTGCCAAAAGTAAACAGCCAGCAACAAATTTATCTGCACAATCTCAATGGCATACCCACCTCTCTCTGGCAAAAGAGTTCTTATTCTGAACAGCTTCTCATTTTTTTTAAGATACCAAGGTTGTGTTTACAGATTTAAGTGCAAGATATTCAGAGGCTCATTAGTTTGTAATAATCTTTTAACATTAATTTCAAGCAAAAAAAAAATATTAATTGCTGTTTTTCCCTTGCCTGGATTTTCCTGACTACAGACTAATTTGAAAAAAAGAAAAGGAGCCTGGGAATTTGCAAAACAAGGAGCATCATGGAGTGAAATAGAATTTACAAGGGAATTTACAGTTTGGGGAGCACAAAGAACCACACCCATTTTTAAAGCAATACTTGAACCAGTGTGGAGAGGTTGCAAGTACTTACAAACATTGACTGCATCACCTTTTAAAGAAACTACAGGGATGTTGTTTGCAATATTTATTAGTTTCATTTCTTTGCAATAAAAGCCAACGATTCACCAGCACACGGTGTGCTAGTACAGTATGCATTTTACTTCTCAATGAATCAGCAATTTAAGTTAAATGTAAGAGCTTTTACAACAAACTTATCTTGGGTTTTTATCATAAAAAGTCAATTACTTACCCAATGATATGCTGATCAATGAAATTTAAGTAGCCTTTAAAATGTAATAAAAATAGCACAAAAACAATGCACACTTGTTGAAACCATGCAGCAAAACAAATTGCATGCTCTCATTCCACTAGAGTGAGTGGCTTTAGTAGCACTAATCCACACTCTGGCAGATAAAAGGTACAATACAAATAATACCAGAGAACTCACAAATAGTGCTCTATAGAGTGAGGTAGTGTTTTCACAAAAGACTAGTCCCGATGCTCTCCTCTCTTTTAAGTATCCACACCCAAAGTTTCCCTCGTAGATACTCTTAGGAAGATGGAAATGGAAGGAGAAAGCAGAGTGATGGGATTGTGGCAGAATGAATGCATAAGCAGCTTTACTACACAAAAAAGTTAAGGAAAACAGTCAAAGGATTCCAGAGAAAACAGCAGATAACAAAAAGTAAGTAAATATTTGTCATTACAAATAGTTTCATCTGTTAAATGACTTTCTGTAGCACAGCAAGATGAAAAATTTTTGATTTTTATTTTTTATTAATTATTCAAATATATTAACCCACTTTCCAAGCTTACTCTTTGTAGTTCAGATTTATATGGCAGATCCAACTAAGTAAATTTAGAAAACAGCCTTCTACACCATTTCTATTTCAATTTAAATATATTTCAGATAATTCATCCCAGTGTCTCAGAAACCCACAGCTATGACGCATCTGTTCAAAAGAAATGCCTGTGCTGGGAATTATCCACTATAACTCAAACAAAACAAGGTTGATGACAAGATCTAAAATGTACCAGTGATAAGCATTAACTTAAGAAATCCATTTTGAAGGTAATAAAAAGTACTTATTCATCTAGAAAATATTTCAGCTGTAACATTTCCTGGGGTGTATTAAGAGGAGTGTGGCCAGCAGGTCGAGGGAGGTTCTCCTCCCCCTCTACTCTGCCCTGGTGAGACCCCACCTGGAGTACTGTGTCCAGTTCTGGGCTCCCCAGTTCAAGAAAGATGAGGAACTCCTAGAAAGAGTCCAGAGGAGAGCTACTAGGATGATAAAGGGACTGGAGCATCTCCCCTATGAGGAAAGGCTGAGAGAGTTGGGCTTGTTCAGCCTGAAGAAGAGAAGACTGAGAGGGGATCTCATCAATGCATACAAATATCTTAAGGGCGGAAGTCAAGAGGACGGAAGCAGTCTGTTTGCAGTGGTGTCCAACGACAGGACTAGGGGCAATGGATGCAAACTGAAACACGAGAGGTTTCAGTTGAATATGAGGAAGAACTTCTTCACTCTGAGGGTGGCAGAGCACTGGAACAGGCTGCCCAGGGAGGTTGTGGAGTCTCCTTCTCTGGAGATATTCAAAGCCCGCCTGGATGAAGTCCTGTGTAGCATGCTCTAGGTGAGCCTGCTTTAGCAGGGGGGTTGGACTAGATGATCTCCTGAGGTCCCTTCCAACCCTTACGATTCTGTGATTCTGTGATTCTGTGTGAATTATCCACTATAACTCAAACAAAACAAGGTTGATGACAAGATCTAAAATGTACCAGTGATAAGCATTAACTTAAGAAATCCATTTTGAAGGTAATAAAAAGTACTTATTCATCTAGAAAATATTTCAGCTGTAACATTAAAGTTGTGGACAAAAGTCTTCAAAACTATTAATAGGGGTCGGTGTAATTTTAACACTCCCATTCTCTTTGAACTTTTTGTTCCCCATAAATTTAAGCAATCCAAAAGAGCGATTAATTTTGCTATTATACTACACAAGCCCTATCAGTGAATATGAACACAACACGAGAAGCCAGCAGACTCTCATGTTTAGTCTTGTAAATGTTGTTCAATATTAGAAACAAATGGACGTAAAAAAGCCGTATTCATTATAATTCACTGCAGTTTGTCTAGCAGCTCCATGGCATTATCTGAGCATTGTCTTTATAGAATCTACAGCAATCTTTTCAGTTCTCCCGCATGAAGAAGTCTTCCCATGATATTCTTCCCCCCACCTAACTGTGAAGCCTTTCTGTATCTGGTTTTGGACAACTTGAATTTAACACAGTATTGAATTATTTTATTGTTGTAAACTTGCAAATGGAATTTTCAAGTGTTCAATGTTACTATCTGTTATATTCTTTATAACACGTTTCTGAAAAGAAAATGACTTGAAGTTAATACTGAGTCATTTGTAGCCAACTGCTTTTCTGGGCTGGTAAAGCAAGAAAAAAAAGAGAGTTAAACAGGTCCCACACTATGAGCATCCTTATTCTCAATTCACCCAATCCTGTACTGTATACAGAACATCAGACACAGCAGTAAGAAATTTGGGATCCTGTTCCCAAATTTCCTAACTGGTCAGCTTTGTGCAAGGAACTTCCCCTTTCTGTGCCATACACTGTAGAGATCTACTGATTAGAAGTACTGATTAAGACACTGAAATTAAAATACTGTCCCCAAAAGTAGGTAGAACTCCAGACTAGCAGCCTAACCTTTCTGAAAGAGGGAGACAATGTTACGAAACGTTTGTTTAAAACAGGAAAGGAAAAACTAGACTTATGACAAAGCCTCTGAGTGGCTGGAGAAGCTCATCTGATATAGAGAAGCAGAGTTCTGTGGAAAAAACCTGGAAATTGTGGATAAGAGAACTTTAAACTCTTCATTTTAATTAAGAGGCTTTAGTGTATTTTAACAAATATATTAAACTTGTAACAGTTTGAGTACAATCCAGCAGTTGAACAAGAAAATACAGAAATGGGTTCATTTTAATCTAGTGCACAAAACAGATAGCAGACGGACTTCTCCTGTGCATTGCCACATTCTGAAACTGATGTTAAGCACGGCATAATTCTGTTCTAGTTTTGCTTACTCTACTAGAGTAATTCTACTATTTTTCTGCTAAGTTACAGAGTTCCTCTGAATTCAACACAGGGAGCTTAAAAAGATAATGCAGAGCTCTGTTCCAAATGAGCTACATCTTTTTAGCTTTTAAAATAACCTATAAATACTACTTCCAAACACTGCTCTATATGTTCTGGAACAGACATGAATTCACTAGTCAGTGATGTAAATTATTTAGGCTACTAAGCTTTCATTTCTTACCACTCTGTTTGATGTAGCATTTTAAGTTAAATTTAAGATGAGTGGACAAATTTGCAAAATGCATGTAAAGAAATCTGAGGCTTAAAAACCTTCTTCTCTGATTAGTATTTTAGTTATCACTTCCAGAATTTCTCATCTAATAGCAATGCTGAAAACCAGCAAAACTCAAGTGTTATGCTTCACATATCTATTTTTGGTAGGGTTTGCTTTACTACTGCTATCATTTACAGACAGGAACAGTACTTTACTAACTCAAAATAAACTACAAAACAGCCTGTGCTTGTCATAAACAAGCTATTTCCAAGTCCCACAGTATAATCCGTATAATGACAGAACCATTAATTTTTTTGGTTCTATGTTTTGCCCAAGCAAATAAACAATACTCCAAATGACAACCTGACAGAAATCTCATACAAGTATTCTGCCACTGTAACATCAACTGCACAGTACCAATTTCATGATGAGGACTTCAGTACCTTCAAATCTACCACAGATACCCTAAACCAAAGCAAGCAAGTTTACCTGAACTCAAGGAAGTGGGCCTTTTCCCAGTTAGTTCCTTAAAATTCCTCATGCTAATCCCACACTATTTATGGAAAACACTGTGTAATAATAAAAACATGCAGCCTTTCAAGTCCAGGAAAGGAGCATTCTTTAAAGAAAAATCACACTGATTAAAGAGTAATGTTTTATTAAATATGTATCTATAATACTATTCTACTAGACATGTGGACCTTACATTACACGTTTTGAAACGAGAAAGTATAGAAAACATGGCATAATGTGTGTTAGTAAAGCAGTGTGCCATACTAATAAGCAAGCCATGCTGGAAGTACGCAAGAGATACCCATGACAAAAGGGTATCCATCAGAATATAACTTACGGGCAGGTTTCTTGCTGAGTCCAAATAGAGAATAAGCAATGCAGAAGAAAGCCCATCATTGGCTTGGTCTTTATCAGCTCTAATGCTTGTTAGCACCTAAACCAAAAACACACTGTAAGTCTTTCTGAAAATCAAATAATATTATTATTTCTATCCCATTCCTGAAAAATATTTTAAAAGCATCTCCCAAAACACAAACATTCAGAAATGCACACTATGAAGCATAAGAAGTAAGTTTTCAAGACTCATATAGATATTTCAAACCCATTTTATGGAAATTTCCACTCCATTTCCTCAGTATTTTTTTTTAGACTGGACAGATTATAATATCATATCCAGCTTTATCTCCCAGGCTAATAAAATGTTAGCTGATATTCTCAAACTGTAACATTAAGAGAAAAGAAGAGGTCGACAAAAGCATTTTAAAATCCCATGCCACAAGAGTCCGTTGACAGTTATAACTGGTTTGAGATTTCTAAAGGCAAACAGCTTGGAATAAAGTTACAGGTTTATCCAAATTCACGACAGACAGAGAATTAAATTGATTACATAATTAACCCCCCCCCCCCCAACAACAAAAAACAACCCACAACAATTAAGATTAGGATAAAAGTAATGAGTTCCTTTAATACCTTGTCTAGATTTTCAGCAGTTGGCATCAATGTGAGCCATTCCAGTTTTAAATGCAATTTTCCTTTGGACACTTCATCCAAAGTAAACCACTAAAAGTTAAGCAAAGTAAAGTGAAATAATCTGACACCAAATACATGATTGCAATTGGCTCTTCAGGACATTTAGGAAATACCAAGCTCTACTAGAAATCTCACAGAGCTGAAGTCTGTATAACCTGAAAAGATCTGATTCATTGTTTAAAATGTCCTATTTTACACTAAATATTACAACACAGAATAACAAAAACAGCCACGCAAACCTCTGTATTATATAGTAAAAGCATTTTTAAAATATTAAGAGAATTCTTCGAGTTCTGTAAAGATGTTCTGGAAATACAAACCCTGCATAACAGTACTATAAAATCCCTCTTACATAGAATCATAGAATCATAGAATGTTTTGGGTTGGAAGGGACCCCTAGAGGTCATCTAGTCCAACCCCCCCGCAGTGAGCAGGGACACCACTAACTCCATCAGGTTGCTCAGAGCCCCGTCCAACCTGGCCTTGAATGCTTCCAGGGATGGGGCCTCCACCACCTCTCTGGGCAACCTGTTCCAGTGTTTCACCACCCTCATTGTAAAGAATTTCTTCCTTATA